GGGGTTCAGGAAGCCCTGCAGCTCGCGGCTGAGCAGCATCGTGAGGCCTGCAGGCGGCTGGGCGGTGTCGCCCTGAAGTGTGCACAGAAGATGACAAACGCCATGAACATAAACTGTTGCCGCCCCGTGCGGATTTCTTGGATCCGCGCTGGCCCTCCCTCCCTGGCGCGCGGAGCGCGCTAGGGGCGGTGCTGGAGGCGCCGCCGCGGGGGGCCCAGCGCGGACCCAAGAAATCCGCACGGGGCGACAACAGTTTGTGTTTATGGCGTTTTTCCTCCTTCGAACGTCGGGGGCGCGCAAACGTGGATCAGCGATCCGTGGATTTGGCGCGCGGTCGCCAAATCGATGGCTCGGGGGAGTTGCCCTCCTCAAAGTGCGGCTGGTGCCGCCTCGTTCGGCGGCGGAGATCCGCGATTTCCTATGGACACGGGACCCGTCGGCGTCCTTGCGCCAGCATAGGGCGTGTGAACGGCGCTGCCTGGCTGGCTGGAGCCTTCTGGGAACCCGCCCCTGGGCTCCCAATGCACCAGAAGGCGACGGACTGCGCGGCGGCGCCTGACAGGGGAACATCGTGAGGACCGCTTGATAATCCACGCCCCCTTGATCCATGTGTGCGATCACCTGAGAGTGCATGGGGTGGTGGAGCTGGAGATCCAAAACATGTGTTGAAATGGTCCTCCGGAGGCCGCAGGAGGAGGAGGAGGAGGAGGAGGAGGAGGAGGAGGAGGAGGAGGAGCTTGTGGAGTGGTCGGACACGGGACGCGGAGGCGCCGGGCATGCGCAGGAGCGCCGCGCCGCGGCGCGCGCCACCTCGAGCCCGGTGCGCGGGGCGTCGGAGGGCGCGCCCTCTCCGGGGGGGGGCGGGCGCTGGCGCTCGGGAGCCGCAGGCGACGGAGCGGTCCGCTCTGTGGCCGGGTGGGTCGCTGAGGGCATCGGGAGCGGCCTGATGCCACGCATCCCCCCTTCCTCCTCCTCCTCGTCCTCCTCCTCCTCCTCCTCCTCCTCCTCTCCTCTCTCCTCCTCCTCCTCCTCCTCCTCCGTCTCTTTTCCCCTCGCGCTCGATTCATCCTCCTCGCTCTACCACGTCTCCTCCGCCCATCATATCGTCTTCTCTCTCCTCCTACCCTCCTCCTCATCCTCTCCCTCTCCTCCTCCTCCTCCTCCTCCCTCCTCCTCGTCCTCCTCCTCCTCTTCCTCTTCCCCCTCCTCCTCCTCCTCCTCCCTCCTCCTCCTGCTCCTCCTCCTCGTCCTCCTCCTGCTCCTCCTCCTCCTCCCTCCTCCTCCTACTCCACCTCTTCCTCCTCCACAGCGCCAACACCTGATATTGTACCTGGGACGCGTTGTTTGAACCACCACATCTACCCTGGAAAGTTCAAGAACACGTCTCTGTGGGATCAAGAGCAACTGCCTAGCCTTCCCCCCCACACACGTGCGAAATAAATACAAAGTCGGACCCCTAGGACCGCCTCTGAACTCCCCAATTTTGGTTCAACAGCGAGGCGCCTCATGAAAATCGACTAGTGTGAAAGGTTTGCATGTCTATGACATGCTGCTGCGTCTTGAATTTAAAATCTGCGCTCGTGGCGCTAAGGCGGAAACCGCGCACGCACGCTACAGAGCAAGCCGAAACGCGAGAGCGATGAACGCGATCTACTGCCACATATCAAAGTATGCGCCGAACAGGCATGCCCAAAAACACGCGATGCGCCGACCCAATACACACGGAAACTGATTCAGCGCCACCCGGACGGGTACCCAGTGGACGGGCACTTCGGCAGCATGCCGCAAGGAGCAAAGTGGCAAGAAAGTGGCCAGAATGAGGTTCATGCTGGGCCGGTGAGGGGTCACACCGCGGTCTCAAGTCTACAAGGGCTTGGAAATCGAGGGTGGTCCAAAAATCGGCGACCCAGCGAGATCCTCCACCCTGAGAGGCGTTCAAAAATTCGCTGGCCAAGCGGACCAAAGGCGTGCTGAGATCCCCGGCGAGGAGGTTCAGAGTCTGTATATCATCAGTTCGCGCGCGCGGGGGGGGCGACCCCGGACGAAAAAGTACCCCGCGAGACCCCTGTGCCATCACGACCCCGAAGAGCGCGCTCGAAGCGCTCCGCGGGGTCTGCAGGAGAGCTCAAAAGGGGGCCGCTGCCACGACACGAGACCGCCACCCTCAAGATGCTCCCAGGAGGTCCAGGAAAACCCCAAGCAGCTCACGAAACTGGGTCCCAAGAGCCCCCCAAGAGGTTCCCGAGAGGCATCCGAAGAGACCCGAATACGCATCCACAAGCCTCGAACCTACAACCCAAGCACGGTGGCATGATGGGCCGAAGGCCACTGGTTATGGATCGCCGAGATTCGCAGGGGGTCCGATCTCCCGGGTATACCTACTGAGCGGTCCGACGCACTGCCTTGATGTGTACAGGGCGCCTCCAACACGCCACCGGAAAGCATCCCGAGAGGCCAAGGCACTGCGCGCCCTGTGGCAGCACACCCCGAACAGCCTCGCGCACAGTTCTATGCGAGGAGGGCTCACGAGGGGGGGGGCCGCGAGGGGCCAATACTTCGAGGGCCCAGGCGCCCTCCCAGAGGAGGAGGAGGAGGAGGCGGAGGAGGAGGAGGCGGAGGAGGAGGACGAGGAGGAGGGGAAGGAGGAGGAGGAGGAGGAGGAGGGGGAGGAGGAGGAGGAGGAGGAGGAGAGCGAGGGAGGAGGAGGGAGGAGGAGGAGGAGGAGGAGGAGGAGGAGGAGGAGGAGGAGAGCGAGGGAGGAGGAGGAGGAGGAGGAGGATGAGGACGCTCGAAGAATTAGATAGAACCCTTCCTCCCTTGTCGCCCTCCCTGGACTGCCGCGGGTCCCTGCGCGGGGAGATCCACGATCGCCCACTCTGCCTCCCAGGGGCAGACCCGAGGAGCGGCCCCGGAGAGCCCCACGTCTGCCCCTCAGTGGCACGCGATGGCACCGAAATCCAGCGATCCAGCGTGTGAGTTTCTGAGAGCGTGGACTTGAGCTCGCTCAAGCTTCGCCCTGCAGGGGTGGGGGGGGGTGCGTTCTTTCCGACGTCATTTCCGACGTTCTTCGGTACACGGGGATATTTCCGACGTCATTTCCGACGTGTTTCAGTACCCGGGGACAGGGTGGTATAGAAAACTCCACTTCCGGAGCCCCCCCAGATCGGAGGCACTGGCCAGAGGCCAGCCCAACATAGGGGAGCGAAGGATGACAAAATTGTGAATTCTCGGAGGTCCGCGCGGACTTCTCGGAGATCGGCGCTGGACCCCCCTCCCTGGCGCGCGAAGCGCGCCGGGGGCCGCGACGGAGGCGCCACCAGGGGGGTCCGAGAAATCCGCGCGGACCTCCGAGTTTTTTATATTCATGGCATTCTTCGCCCCCCTAAAACAAGTCCAGCAAGCCACAACAGCGGGAACCCGACAGGATCTCCAAGACTGCCGGCCGCGACGCCAAGAGAAAACCATCACCACCCTGGCAGCGCCGCCGTGGCAGCAAGCCCACGGGCAGGCGCCAGCCACGAGGGAGGAGGAGGTGGGGGAGGAGGAGGAGGAGGAGGAGGAGGAGGAGGAGGAGGAGGAGGAGGAGGAGGAGGAGGAGGAGGAGAAGGAGGAGGAGGAGGGGGAGGAGGAGGAGGAGGAGGAGGAGGCGGAGGAGGAGAAGGAGGAGGAGGAGGAGGAGGGGGAGGAGGAGGGGGAGAAGGAGGAGGAGAAAGAGGAGTAGGACCAGTGGAAGCCCAAGAGTCATCAACGATGCTGGAAGTAACCCTCCCTCCAAGCTCCCTCTTCATAGGCCCCATACAACGGTTCATTTCTATTGAGGGAACTGCCTCGTTGGAAGGCAGCAGTTTGAAGATCCTGAAGCGTGCCAAAACATTGTTCCTGAGATTTCCACGCCACGTCTCAACCTGAATGGTGCGTCTTGATGATCCAGAATCGTGCCAGAACGCCGGTTTGGGGACTTCAACACAGCGAATCAACATAACGGTTGCGCCCGCGTAATCCTGAATGCTTCCAAAACACCATTTCTGGTACGTTGATCATGGGAATCCGTGAAACTCTTGCAAATGTTGAAAACGAATGTGCGAGGCGCTGAGGCGAGAGCCACAGTTTGAAAGGGAATCGCCCTCAATATGTGAAACTGTTGCAAAGTTTGAAAAGGATGTGCACGGCGCTGAGGCGGCCACATTTTGAAAACCACCCGCCCTCAATCCGTGAAGCTCTTACATACGTTTAAAACGAATGTGCGCGGCGCTGAAGCGAGAACCACATTTTGAAAACAACCTGCCCTCAATCCGTGAAACTCTTGCACATGTTGAATGCGCGCGGCGCAAAAGCGAGAACCACATTTTGAAAACGACCCGCCCTCAATCCGTGAAGCTCTTGCAAATGTTTAACAAGAATGCGCGCGGCGCTGAGGGGAGAACCTCATTTTGAAAACCACCCGCCCTCAATCCGTGAAACTCTTGCAAATTTCTGAATGACGAGTGGACGCGGCGCTAGGACGAGAGCCACATCTTGGTCACCTTTTAAGCTTCAGAGTCGTAAGCGGTGAGGAAGTCTGAGGCGAAACGTCCGGCCCGCCCTAAAAACTGACCTCGGGGTGCGACAGGGAGGAGTTATCTATCAGGAGAAGGAATGGAGGAGGAGGAGGAAGAGGAGGAGGAGGAAGAGGAGGAGGAGGGGGAGGAGGAGGAGGAGGAGTCTGGGCCGGCGGGGGGAGCGAAGCCGTCGAATGGAGCGCGTGCGCCCGCCCTCGCCTCCAGGGAGGGCGCGTGGCCACAGCGCCGCATCCCGCCGCGGTCCTGATTGACCGCGCGGCAGCGGCCGCGGCCCACGTGGTGCCCGTCCCCCCCGAAGGGTGCTGGGTCGTGGCGCGGGGTCTCGCTTGAAAAACTGCATGGGAGCAAATTGCCTAGCCGAGAGGCGCCCGTCCTGCTGGGTCGTGGCGCGGGGTCGTGTTCCAAAAACGGCACGGGAACAAACTGACAAGCGCAGGCAAGTCAATCAGTCAGCAGCATGCTCGGGTGGCTGGGGAGCCCCGTGTCCCTGAGAGCCATGAGGGCGTGCTGCAACTCGAGTTCCTTGGCGTCGAGCTGGTCGTCTTTGTCGAAGAGTGCGCACCGTGCACGCTGCAACGCCTTCTTCTTCACAGCAAGTTCCAAGCGCAAGGCGGTCACATCAGCGCTGGCCCCCTTAGCCGAGCTGGCCGTGCTCGTGCGGCCAGTCGCCTGCTCATCGTCGACCTGGTGAAGATCCAAGATATGTCTCCGATCGACTGCCTTCAAGGAAGGCCGAACCTCTGCCACGGCAGGGTTGTCTGCAATCAGCTGTCGCTGGCTCTCCCGTTGACAGATCTCGTCCCTCTCTGCACGCAGCTTGGCGATCGCGTCATTGGCTGCGGCGAGCTGCGAGCCGAGATGTCGAAGCTCGTCTCTCTCCGCGCGCAACGCGTCGATTGCTCCCTTGGCCGCGGTGAGCTGACAGCCGCACTCACGGAGCTCGTCCCTCTCAGCACGCAGCTCGGCGATCGTGTCAGCGGCTGTGGCGAGCTGGGAGCGAAGCTGCTCGGCATCATGGCCATCATCAGATAGGAGGTCATAGTCGGCTGGGCTGGGGGCGAAACTGATAGGCGTCCTGGTCCGTCGAACTGAGCGGCCGGGGGCCGGCTCGTCGCCCCTTGCGGGTTCGCTGGCCTTCGCTCTGGCAGGCTCTAGAGGCGGTGGCGGCGCACCTCTGGGCACTATCAAGTACGTGTCCATTCGCCCTTTTCCTTTGACCTCAATGGGGCCACGACTCACGAAGCTCGCGCCACCGAGGTCCGCATCGCCCACGTAATCGCGGGCGTCCTGCGATATCCGCCACCGTGCCCTGTGCACGCTGGGGCGCGGAAGAGTGCCAAGGTATGACTAGTAGGGTTTTGGCGTCTGGCCGGCGTGGACACAAAGCGATGTGCTTCTAGCAATCTGCGTTGTGCATTCAAGGTTGAGAGTATCTGCGGTGCAAGCTACGTTAACGCAGTGCGCGCGGAGCAACCTATGTGGTGCAGTCTATGTGGTGCGATTGTTCTTTTTTGTTTTGCACATGAGATGGCCCATTCCATGCCCTTGCAAACGTTCCACCCACCCACCCGCGCGGCGTTATTTGACACGGATCGTGCCCGCCCCCCCTAGCACGCGCGCAACAGGCATTCAAATGAGTTCGACATGCGGCACCAAACGCCCGCCCGTTTGGAAGAATTTGATAAAGATGTTGGAAAACCGATGGTTTCCACAACAATCCGCAGGGACGCGAGCACTGAAATTTGTGTTGGGAAAATAACATTGCAAAACTTTGTGGTCTTGGAATGACTTCGGGCCACTGAATTTGAAATCCTTCCCCATTGAAGGCGTATTCGATGATTTCGGCATGCGCGCGCGACGACGCGCGCGTGTGCACTGCGACCCGATTTGAGGCAGCAGTTCTGGCGATAGCACGCGCGCATAAGCGTCCGAACGATTTCAGCTCGCGCGTGAGAGAGACCAATGTGGGAAACATGTTGTGGCGAAGTTTGGATTTCCCATGGTTTTCTTCAAAATTCGCAAGAACACGAACACTTTTTTGGGGGGGAATTCTTGATGCAAAACCATGTGCTGTTAGATGTTTTCCGTGACAGTCGATCTTGAATTCTTTACGGGACGTGGAGTGTTTGAGGGGTTCTGGCATGCGCGCGCGACGACGCGCGCGTGAATTCTTCGCCAACCCTCTTGCGATAAGTTTTTGGAAACTTGCGAGTTTTGATAAGCGGGTGCGCGCACATAGATCTCCTGTAAAGGATGAGGGGGGGGAGAAGGGGCACCCTGTCTGGGCTAGCGTGCTAAGACATCAAATTTACGATGGACGAAAGGGCAGATTCAGATGTAAACTGCAATGTGAAAAAGTGTACCTTAAACTGGGGGGTCGATCCTACTACTCTCTTTTTTTGTTAAACCATATATATGTATATATGTATGTTGTGATATCTGCGATTTTCAAAAGATGTCGTGTGATATACGTCGCACAATCTCTCTACAAATGCATGGGAATATCTGTGGAACAACATGTGCGGCAAGGTCGATGTGTTGAAAGATGCGTGGAACAACAAATGTGGCGCGATCTGATCTATGTTGTGCAATATACGTGGTGCCGTCTGCACGATGTGTGGTGCGATATGCGTTATGTAGTCAATGTGGTGCAAGCCGCGGGATTCAACATATGCGGTGCAATCAACGTGGTCCAATTGACCCGGCCGAACTTGAAATTGTCAAGTCCACGGCTCGCGCAATCACCCCACCCCCACCCGCAACTTGGTTTGAAAACCAATACGGCGGCGACTGCGATGACTTCTCGGCGCTGGATGGCGCATCACCGCGGCCGCGCTAGCGCGCAGGCTTGCGCGCAGAGTGGCCAGCTGGTCTGGCCCGACCGGCGCGGCCGCCGTGGCCCTGACCGCTCGGGACTTGCCGTCACGTCTCGCAGACCGCGCTGACGCGCGGGCACCTCAGTGCGAGTCGGCGACTCGGGCGGGCGCGGTATCACGGCGACGTCGAGATAAAAGGGAAACACGATGATGGCAGTAGCGATGATGACGATGCTGCCAATGACGACGGCAAAGGCAACGAGGTCGACGAGGGTGATCACTCCGATGACGATGAGGTATCCTCGCGTCGGTGATGAAGCGTGCGATAAGGATTTCGGCATGCGCGCGCGGCTGGCGCGCGCGTGGCCCGCATGGTAATGTTTGACACGGGTCGTGCCCTCCCAGCACGGGCGCAACGGCGCGCGATGGCGCACGCGTGTGCACTTCGTCCTATGCGTTGCAAAAGGATCTTGTAAATTGATGGTTAGTTGCTCATGAGCGCGAGCGCATACGATTTCTTGCAGGGCATGTTGGGGGGTCGATAAGAGACTGCCTCGTATGGTACGAGTTGGTTTTTTGGATGGACGGGCGCGCAGAATCGCATCTGAACAGCACTACGAAAAAATGGTCCGTTCAGTCCAGGGTGGGAGGTGGGGAGATCCGAATACTCTTCTGGAAAGTCTAAGTGGTGCAATCTCTGTGGTGCACTTCGTTAGTTTTTGTTTGCAGGGAATTGTCAACGCCACCGCTCGCGCTTTCATCCCACCCGCCCACCCGAAACTAAATTTCCCAAGTCCGTGCGGCGGCAATTGCGATCACTATTTGGCGATGGCCGGCGCAAGCTCGCGCGCAGACCGGCCAGCTGGTCTGGCGCGACCGACGCGGCCGCGGTGGCGCTGCCCGCTGGAGGCCTCCAGACGCGTCTCGCAAGCCAAGCTGGCGCGCGGGCACTTCTGTGCGAGTCGGTGACTCGGGCGGGCACGGTATCATGGCGACGTCGAAAACGTCAAACACGAGGATGATAGTAGCGGTGCTGGCGACGATGATGATGAGGACGACGACGGCCAGGGCAACGACGGCGCCGATGCTGATCGCGCCGATGATCCTCGTGTCGGCGATCAAGATGCCTCAAGGATTTCGACATGCACGCGAAGCCGGAGTGCGCGGGGGTCCGCATGGTATTCTTGGACGCGAGACGTGCCCCCCCAGCAAGCGCGCAAGGAAGTTCAAAAGATATCGACATGCGCGCGCGAGAGCCGCGCTTGGTCGAATGTGTTTTTACTTGCAAAGAACATGTTGAAGGGAAAATTCTCAAAAGCGCGCACGCATACTTGTTTGAAACCTCACGTTGCCCAACCATGTTCTTCGTTGACCGATGTTTGTTATGCGTTGGGGACCCTTGAGCTTGACAACCGTGCGACACCCTAAATGTTTAAACGTTTTCGGCATGAGCGCGCGACGACGCGCGCGTGTGGACTTTGTCTCATCTGTTCCATTTGATTCGTGCCCCCGGCAAGCGCGCAGGGGCGTTCGAATGAATTCGGCATGCGCGATCGAGATGCCCGCCTGGCCTCATGGAAATGTTGAACACCTCATGGCTTTCAAGGGAACAGTCGCTTACCAGAAAGCTGCGCTTGCACGGTGGCGGCACCTGCCGCAGGCAGCAGGATGTGAATGCAGCCAGGTACGCCATTTGATTCCATGCGACTTGACACGTTCACAGTGTCCCCGAAGAAGCAGTAGCGTGGCACCTTCTGTCCCACCACGCCCGTGAAAGCGGGCCCGGAATGGACACCGACGCGGATCTGGAGGCGCATCTGTGGTGGAGGTCGCACGGCTTTGACTGCGTCGAGCATGTCCAGGCCCATGAGTATGATTCTCCTTGCATGGTCGGCGCCGCCGTCATGACCAGCTGCAACCATGTACGCGTCACCGATGGTCTCAACCTGCAGCCAACAATGTGATGTATCGCGAGGGGCGGGCATGTGAGAGGGCCCCATAGAAGCTCCTCCCACTCACAGTCAATGCCACACGTTCGCGCCAGAGACCACAAGAACAATAGGTCAGAAAAGCGATCGGGACGAAGACAGTAAGCACACGATGTCAGCAACACATGTCCCTCCCACGCCCCACCGGTGATCAACATTCAGGCCACGACGGCAATTTTATGTGACACGAGAGCGCAGAAACGCACAGAACCAAAAAAACACTCAAACACAATCATGTGTTTGATGATCGCCTGTCCAGACTGCTTCCATGGCGTGGCCAGTTTATCCTGCGCCTGCTGCTCTTTTTCTCCTTCCCCTTCCGTTCCTCCTCCTCCTCCTTCTTGCCCCTGCTCCGCCCATCAGGGCCAAACCAATTACACGAGACCCAGACAGCCAAGAGAAGACCAGACCACACTGCCTGGCCCAATCTCTTCTTCCCAGGGCCTAGATTTCTCCAAACATTGTATTATAGATCCTCGCCCTTACATCCATGACCCCCATCACCCCGTAGCAAAATAAACAAAGTCATGCCTCCCGCTTCAGTGGCTCCTCGACAAACAATCGAAACTCTTGGCCCGCAGGGTCACGACCCATTGCAAATTGCACCCTGACAGCAGAGTATCTACATAGCACACGTACGTTGCAAAAAGGGAGATTACACTGTATTGTACATACGTGAGATCATAGGGGAGCTCACGCGGAAGAGCAGATTGTAGACGATACCAGACAGCATACGGGAGATCAGACGGCAAGCCACACGGAGGACCGCACGGGAGAGCGTACTGAAAACCGCACCGAAGACCAGAATGGAGACCATGCGATGCGGGAGATTATGCGCCACAGCATACGGAAAAGCATGCAGCAAACAGTGCGGGTCAGCAGCAGGGACAGCACAAGGGAGACCATACCAAAGACCAAACAGAACATCGGGGAACCATACAATCATAGGGGAGACCATACAAGAAATCATAGGCAAGCCCATGCGGGAAACCATGCAGACAATCACACGGGGAATCGCACGAGCGACAATACGGTAGACCGTACGGAAGTCCGTACGGGAGACCAGGTGGACACCGTAAGGGAAGCCAGACGGGAGTCTACGGGCTACCGATTTCGGACATGTGGAGAGCACGCCTCGCCTTAAAATCGACAAACTCACAAATAACACTTGCAAGCAAGCTGCTTGGGGAATGTAGCAGGTCCATGCTCCTAGCGCCACGATGCTCGTTTTTTACCGTTGCCCTGAATCCTGGATCTCGGGGGCCTGGCCACGTGAATGAATAATCGATCACCTTCAGGACGACGATCCTGGATCACGATGCCGCAAGCTGCTTTTGTTAATCCCGGATGATGCGCACCCTCCTAGAAGCCCGCGCACATCACACATCAACCGACTGGAATTCCGCACCAAATCCAGGATTACATGTTACATGTGAGTCTGTGGCTCACAGGGCATGGCCCTGGGCAAATACAGTGAATCCTCGTCCATACGCCACGTCCTCGCCGAACGTACTTCTGGCCTGGCTCTCGCTCCCATGGTCAGGACCTTCCGGGAAGAAAAACATGATGGCTCTCGCCACTAGGTCCAGGACCCCTCGCGAAAGAAAATAAAGATGTCGGAGGCATGCCAATTTTCAGGTCGGCCTGGGAGGAATGAACCCAAGACGGAGACCCCTAGGGGAAACTCGCAATGCGAAGAACGAGCGTCGTATCGAATCAAGCACTGAGGCAGATCGAACATATACCGAACGTCCATGGCTGCTCCAGTCCACGACCCATCTTGAAGTGCTAATGGCTCTCGCTCCCTAGGCCATGCCACACGTCGAACTGCAGCGTGCAACAAATAAGTTGACCCCAGGCCCACCGTCTCTGGGAAAGAAGCACATTCTTGCCCAATGTAATGTGGCGGCCTCGTCTTCTAAGGCTGCCACGTGTCATGGCTTCCGTGGGCTCAAGACACTGATTCCTTCCCTCCAGGCCGCGTCCCTCGTATCAATGCTGCCCGTTCACGCCATCGGGGCCACGAGACTATGCGAAGTCTGCAAGGCGCATGGCGGATTCCGGTAACCTGAATCCAAACCAAGTTATCATCTCTTGGGGCCGCCCTTCTGCTGGCTTCCGCAGGCCGAGGAGGCACTGGCCGCATTCCGCCGCCTCCCGCCGCCTTCCCCCCGAGGAGGAGATGCCAACTCCTCCGACGCTCAAGGGCGAGGCCCTTTCTGAAACGCTTCACCGAGCCACCAGGGCAGCGACTTGCCTCCAAACGTCTCCAGGGACCAACCTCGAATCACTTCTCGACGCCTCCGTGGCCTTCGAATGCCTCCGTGGGATCCGTCTTTCCAGGGCCACGCTCGGTTGCAAACCAATCTGAAACGGTCCGAGGCGTGCACATGCACGCTTGTACGTAACGGAGTGCCCCCGACCTTCACCCCCAGGGTGAAATTTTAAGTTCAAGAATGCCGGGAGGGAAAATCAAAGATGGTCCCAGCAAGTCGCATGTACGGGTGTACGGTGTACAGATGCAACGGTGTATATGTACAGGTAGTAGGGGGAGTGACGTAGCAGTAGTAGCAGTAGTAGTAGTAGTAGTAGTAGTAGTAGTAGTAGTAGTAGTAGTAGTAGTCGTAGTAGTAGTAGTAGTAGTAGTAGTAGTAGTAGTAGTAGTAGTAGTAGTAGTAGTAGTAGTAGTCGTAGCAGTAGTAGTCGTAGTCGTAGTAGTAGTATTAGTGGTGGTGGTGGTGGTAGTAGTAGTAGTAGTAATACTAGTAGTAGTAGTAGTAGTAGTAGTAGTAGTAGTAGTAGTAGTAGTAGTTAAGAGTAGTAGTAGTAGTAGTCGTCGTAGTAGTAGTAGTAGTAGTAGTGATCGTAGTTGTAGTAGTCGTAGTAGTATGAGTAGCAGTAGTAGTAGTAGTAGTAGCAGTAGTAGTAGGAGTAGTAGTAGTAGTAGTAGTAGAAGTAGTAGTAGTAGTAGTAGTAGGAGTAGCACTAGTAGTAGGCGTAGTAGTAGTAGCAGTATTAGTAGTAGTAGTAGTAGTACTAGTAGTGGTAGTAGTAGAAGTAGTAGTAGTAGTAGTAGTCGTAGTCGTAGTGGTAGTAGTCGCATTAGCCGTAGTAGTAGTAGTCGTAGTAGTAGTAGTAATAGTAGTAGTAATAGTAGTAATAGTCGTAGTAGTAGTAGTAGTAGTAGTAGTAGTAGTAGTAGTAGTAGTAGTAGTAGTAGTAGTAGTAGTAGTAGAAGTAGGGAGAGTCGTAATAGTAGTCTTAGTAGTAGTCGTCCGAGTAGTAGTAGTAGTAGTAGTAGAAGTAGTAGTAGTAGTTTCTAGTAGTAGCCACCGTAGCCGTAGAAGAAGTAGTCGTCGTAGTACTAGTAGCAGTAGTACTAGTAGCAGTAGTAGTAGTAGTAGTAGTAATACTAAAAAATATTAGTAGTAGTAGTCGTCGTCGTAGTCGTAGTCGTAGTCGTACTAGTCGCAGTAGGACGAGTAGTAGTAGGAGTAGTAGCAGTAGTACTAGTAGTGGTAGTAGTAGCACTACTATTACTAGTAGTTCTGTGGTAGCCGGCGTAATGGTAGTAGTAGCGATACTAAGAATAGGAGTCGTAACAAAAAGAACAGTAGTCGTAGTGGAACTGATCGTATAACTACTGGTAGTAGTCGTACTAATAGTAGTAGTAGCCCTGGGAGTAGCAGAGATACTCGTAGTGATCGTGGTAGTAGTAGTAGTAGTAGTAGTAGTAGTAGTAGTTAGTTCAGTCGTGAGTTACTTGGCAAATTCGTTAATTAGTTAGTTAGTCAGGTCGGTAGTGGTGGTAGCGGTGGTAGTAGTAGTATTCGTAGTAGTAGTAGTAGTAGTAGTAGTAGTACTAGTACTAGTACTAGTAGTAGTAGTAGTAGTAGTAGTAGTAGTAGTAATACACCTGGCAACTGTAGTAATACTGCGACGGCTAGTAGTTGTAGTGTTAGCGCGAGTGGTAAGAATGGAAATAGTTGTGGTGTTAGTGGTAGTACGGCCATCAGTAGTAGGAGTGGTCGTTGTATCAGTGGGAGGATTCGTAATACTAGGTAGGTGGTAGTAATAGTTGTTATTGGTGTAGTAGCGATAGAACTAGTAGTCGTAGTCGTAGCAGGTGGTAGTAGGAGTTGTAGCAGTAGTAGTAGTAGTAGTAGCAGTAGTAGTAGTAGCAGTAGTAGCTGCGGTAGTAGCAGTAGTAGTAGTAGTAGTAGTAGTGAGGATAGTAGTAGTAGTAGTAGTAGTAGTAGTAGGAGTAGGAGTAGGAGTAGGAGTAGTAATAGTAGTAGTAGTAGTAGTAGTAAACGTAGCAGTAGTAGTAGTAGTAGTAGTCGTCGTAAGAGTAGTAGTAGTTGCTGTTGTACGTGTAAATGTAGCTGTATTGTCGCAGAAGCAGTAGTAGCAGTGGTAGACGTACTAGTTCTACTAGTGGCAGTGGTAGTAGCAGTCTTAGTCGCCGTCGTATTAGCAGTATTAGTTGTCGCAGCAGCAGCATCAGCAGCAGCAGTAGTAGTAGTAGTAGTAGTAGTAGTAGTAGTAGAAGTAGTAGTAGTCGCAGCAGCAGCAGCAGCAGCAGCAGCAGCAGCAGTAGTAGTAGTAGTAGTAGTAGTAGTAGTAGTAGTTAGTAGTAGTAGTAGTAGTAGTAGTAGTAGTAGTAGTATAGTAGTAGTAGTAGTAGTAGTAGTAGTAGTAGTAGTAGTAGTAGTAAGTAGTAGTAGTAGTAGTAGTAGTAGTAGTAGTAGTAGTAGTAGTAGTAGTAGTAGTAGTAGTAGTAGTAGTAGTAGTAGTAGTAGTAGTAGTAGTAGTAGAGGAGGAGGAGGAGGAGGAGGAGGAGGAGGAGGAGTAGTAATAAACGTCGTAGTCGTAAATATAGCAGTAGTAGTAGCAGTAGCCTTAGTCGCAGTAGTTCTAGCAGTAACAGTAGCAGTAGCAGTGGCAGTAGCAGCTACTTCTGATCATGAGAATGATGGCGGTGAAAGTAACAATCCTGCTGCTCATGAGCAGCAGGTTCGATCCATGATTGGTACTTGCAGCGGTGATACTGAAGTTCAGCCTCGCCGCCCCCCGTCGAATAACAAGAGGGCTCGCGTCCAGGATAATGATGACACTTGGCGGAATCGGGGGTAAGCCTTGTTATCGGGTCATGGGATCAATCATGGGTAGCGAGTGTGCGCACGGAGGGTAGGGAGGCGGGAAAGGGAGACAGACGGAGTACTGGGGCACTGTGGAACGATTTGAGAGACGACGATCCTTGTAGACACCATGCTTGTCGAGTAATGCGTCGAACGCGGAGAACAGCTCGTTGAGGAGAGTGATCACGGCGCACGTGGGAATCGACTCCGCAATGTTCGTCCAGCCGACCTGCGAGCACCCGCCGCACAGACAAGCACTGATCCACGGCAAAGTCCTGGTTCGGACCCAGGAGCTCCACAGACCACTCCACGGAGCTTCTCCCCTCACCCCCCTTGTCCTCCTCTGCCCCAGGGAGGCCGACGGTTCCCTGGATGAGCTGAGGGGGCCGAGAGGGGGGGACTGCCTCAGAGTGTGAAGCATCGGCCTGGGATCGGCGACGCGTCGGCGGCAGGCATCCGCCCCGCCCAAACGCCTGGGACGCCATTCTGAGTTGGCATGCGAGATGAAGGCCTTGGTTCAGGATGCTCCCATCGTACTTACGGACCACATCCCAGAAATAATTTCGAGCACCCGGAAAAATCCCGAAAGAGCGTCGAAACCGTCTCGGACGAGTGTCTCCCAGGGCCCCGACACGTGATAACCCTTGCGTTTCGGTACTCTTGGGGGCTCGATATCCTTCCGGTGATCAAGGTTCAAGCAGGTTGGAACATCATGAGACTTGGTGAAAAACGGGTCTGGGACCCAGGCGGCTTGCCCTGGACGGTCTCTTCGTAATTCGGCGCTTGGACACTGGGCGGAGGGGTCCTGGCCCCGGACCTCTGCGTCGTGCGGCCGTTTGGAACCGTGCGTCCTCGGGGAGGGACCCCGCCTGCTCGAAACAGGCGCCAGAAGGAAAAGCCAAGATCTGCTCCAGAGGAACGGGGAAGGGGGGGGTGCGAGGGCCCGCGCCGATCGGCAAAATAATGGATACAGAAGAGGCCGGTCCACAAGAAGCCGTCCACAAGACACCCAACCCTAAGACCCCAGGACGTCCCTCGATTTGGGGTGTGGGAGCGTCCCGCTCTCCGTAACAAAGAAAACATCAAAGCCCAGGAAGCCCAGGGCACCCTGGAGGCAAGCAGGGTGTTTCCTGGCATGGGTCTCCACAATACCTCCAACTGCCTGCCTCCCTCCACGACGAGATGTTTTGTTCACGTTCGGCCTCTTAGGGGGGGGGGAGGCCGTCTCTGACGTTTGGCCTCTTAGGGGGGGGGGGGGGGCGTCGCTGGCCTCAGGAGGAGGAGAGGAGGAGAGAGGAGAGGAGGAGGAGGCTGAGGAGAGGGGACAGGAGGCGAAGGAGGAGGAGAGAGGAGGAGGAGGAGGAGCGAGGAGGAGGGGAGGGGAGGAGGAGAGAAGGAGGAGGAGGAGAGGAAGAGGAAGGAGGAGAAGGAGGAGGATCGAGGAGAGGAGGAGCGAGGAGGAGGAGGAGGAAAGGAGGAGGAGGAAGAAGAGCGAGGAGGAGGAGGAGGAAATGAGGAGGAGGGGCGGAAGGGAGGAGGAGGAGAGAGGAGGAGGAGGAGGAGCGAGGAGGGGAAGGAGGAGGAGGAGGAGCACGAGGAGTAGCGAGGAGGAGGAGAAGGGGAGGAGGAGGAGCGAGGAGGAGGAGGAGGAGGAGGAGGAGGAGGAGGAGGAGGAGGAGGGTCGTCACCGCAAAATAAAACATCACCCACAGCATGAGATGCCGAGGGCCCCAAGGCACACTGGCGGTGCGCACGAGGCGCGGCGCGAGGGGGTGGGCCTCCAGGCAGCCCCCCCCCCCTCCTCCTCCTCCTCTTATGATTATTCTTCTTAATATTATTATCAGTATGATTACTATTATTATTACTGTTATTATTATGATTTATTTTACCTATTATTCTCTGTACTATTATTATTTTATTCGTATTACTTTTATTATTATTAGTATCATACTTCTTAGTGTTATCATTAGTAGTAGTAGTAGTAGTAGTAGTAGTAGTAGTAGTAGTAGTAGTATTAGTATGCTTCTTCCTCCAGGCCTCCAGACAGAACCCCCCCTCCTCCTCCTCCTCCTCTTCTTATTCTTCTTCTTATTATTATTAGTATTAGTATGATTACTAGTATTATTCATGTTAGTATGAATTGTTTTCCTATTATTATCTGTACCATTATTGTATTATTCGTATTACGATTCTTACTGTTATATTTCTTATTGATACTATTAGTAGTAGTAGTATTATTAGTATGCTTATTCTTATTCGTATTCTTCGTATTATTCTTACTATTCGTCTTCTTTGTCCTCCTCCTCCTCCTCCTCCTCCTCCCTCCCTCCCTCCTTCCCTACCCTCCCCCCCCCCCCCCTCCCTCCCTCCCTCCCTCCCTCCCTCCCTCCTCCTCCCCCTCCCTCCTCCCTTCTTCCTCCTCCTCCTCCTCCTCCTCCTCCGACTCCTCCTCCTCCTCCCCCTCCTCCTCCTCCTCCTCTGACAGGAGCTCTTCCAAGGTGTCGGGGCAGGTGGTCACTGCCAACATCTCTGATGGGAAACAGCTCGTGCAGTACCTTGCCGTCTGCCAGGCCACGGTGCTCGCGGCGCAAGAGCATAAGGCTGATGACGCCCGCCTTCCGGATATCCAGAGGCGAGCCGCTGACAAAGGCTGGTCTGGAGTCTGGTCGGCCGCCGTCGTAACGGACAAGGGCGGCACCAGCGGCGGGCTGGCTGTGCTTACGCGTGGCAGGGCCATGGTCACCGCCCCGCCGTGCCGGAGTGACCCGTGCATCTATCCTGGCAGGGCCATGGCTGCCCGAGTGCATTGGGGACTCCCGGGAGGTATTGTGATCATCACGGTGTACCTGGTGGTGGGAGAGGGCCTCTCGCCCACCAACATGGCCATCCTCCACGACGTCGGCTGTTACGCGGCTGAGCTCAATGCGCGCGGTTTTGCTTGGCTCATCTGTGGGGACTTCAATTTGGAGTACGAGGAGCTTGGCGACTTGACCTGGCTGCACTCTCTGGGCGGCGTGGCGCTCAGGACCCAGGCAACTACGTGTCGTCAGGCAATGCCGGGGACGCGCATTGACATGTTCATGATATCGGAGGCCTTGTTACGTCGAATTGAGCCTCCTTACGTCTTGGAGGACACCGGCACTTTCCCCCATGTGCCTGTGGTGCTGCCGCTCCGAGGGCAGGAGCGGGACATGTGGGTACGCCAGCTGGCCGCTCCCAGGGCGGTCCCGCGCGGACCCGTCATTGGCTGCTCGCGCTACCCTGGTGAATGGGACGGCGCCCTGCACTCCATCAGGCAGGCGTGTGATGCCCGCACGTTGCAGGTCGCATGGGACGACGTCATCGCTGCCCTGGAGGAGGAGCTTCTTGAGCGGCACGATAAGGTGGGGCCTGCTGATGATGTGTTTCGCGGTTCTGCTGGAGCTGTCCATTACCGTTGGTCCCATATGGAGGCGACTGCTCCGCACAGGCTCCCCTGCCACTCAGCAATGGAGCATGGCTGGGCGGTGGCGGCCCGCTGGGCCCGGCATGTGCGCAGCGCGCGCCAGGCCATTCGCCATCAGGCCACGATGCTTGTCGCCGACCTCGGCCTGGTCATGGAGTCTCCTCTGGCGGTCACCAAGCTGGCGCAGCTGGTTCTCGAGTTCGAGCGTTGGCTGCAGCGCATCGACAAGGCGACAGTGCTGCTGGCCATCGATGCCTGGGTGGCCACGTGGTTTCAGTCGGGCTTCAAGCTGCTGACAGACCCACACTTTGATGATGCCGTCGACGCCATCTTGGCTCGGGCCGAGGAGGTCCTTGACGCCTACGGCAAGAAGGAGTTGGAAGGTTGGCGAGCCTGGGCAGCCAGCTCCTTTGACAAGGGGGCTGGCAAGGCTCATCGGTACACCAAGGCGAAGGCAGCCCAGGAGATTTTCGACTGGGGGAACCTGCACAATGATTTAGCCCAGCCCTTCGTCATGGCCGACAAGTCCATGCGCTTCTGGGATCAAATCTGGAGTTTGCATGGCCAAGATGCAGTTCGTCTGCCCCGCCAGGCTGCTATGTGGCCGGAGCTTCCGGAGATCACAGTCGACATGATGCGTGCGGCGACGTTGTCGTTTCCTTGGCACACGGGTGTTGGTCAATTTCAGTTCTCGCCTCGCAGCCTTTGGTATGTGTCTGATATTGGTTTATTTGTCCTCGGCCAGCTGTTCATGACTTGTGAGCGTTTGTGCCAGTGGCCGAGCGAGAGGATCGTCACCCAGATGGTCAGACTGCCCAAGGAGTCGGGGGGCAGTCGGCTTATCGCGCTGCTGCACACGCTCCTGCGCATCTGGGGGCGGGTGCGCAGGCCCTTGGCTGCGGCCTGGCAGTCGGAGCATCAGGCCGACGCCTTCTGGGGCACAGGTGCTGGTCGGTCGTCTTGCGACTGCGCCTTCGATCTCAACATGGAGGCAGAGATCGGGCACGAGCTGAACGAGGACGTGGTCAACGCTTTCTTGGACATGCTGAAATGCTACGAGACGGTGAGGCTGGACGCTCTGATGGATGAAGCCATCCATGTTGGCTTTCCCCCCCGGCTGTGCTGGATGGCGGTGCAGACGTACGTCCAGCCTCGCCTCATCAAGGCCTATGGTGGCTTGTCCTACGCAGTGGTCTCCTTGCAAGGCATCTTGGCAGGGTGTTCATTGGCTACGACACTGCTCATGGTCCTCCTGTTCCGTAGTATGCGCAGCACGGTGCATGTTTTTAAGAATGTCACGCCCAGAGCGCTGATTGATGATATCAGCTTCCAGTGGGTTGGACATCGGGCTCTGGGGCTGCGGCGGGAGGGGAGGGATCCAATCCGCGAGCTGCATGCCGCCATCCGCGCCTTTGTCGCTTCTGTGAAGCCCCTAGGGCTGATGGTACAGTTCCCCAAGTGTGGCTTTGTAGCCAGCACCGCTCGTGCCAGGAAGCGTTTTGCTAGTTTTGCTGGTCTTTTGAAGCTGGCCTCTAAGAAGGCCATGCGCAACCTTGGGCATGAACTCCACGGGCCGCGGGTCCAGAGGATCCAGGAGCACTCCCGGGTTCGCAAAGTCTGTAAGCGCCAGGCCAAGCTGCTCAGTCTCCGCCGCGCGGTCGGAGATCGAGTGGCTGGCCTCTGGCGCACTGGCCTTATGCCATCTGCGGGGCACGGGGCCGGAGTTTCAGGCGTGTCCGACACGGCGCTTCGCACTCTTCGCACTATGGCGGGGGGGCTCGTGGGGGCGAAGTCGATGTGCTGCCTAACTCTTTACTTGGCTACTCAGCCTAGTTTTCGGTACGATCCAATTTTTGATTCGACGACCTTACTGGTCTGTCGGTATGCGGCTTGGATTTGGCAGCAGCGCGTCAGCCCCAGTAGGCTTCGGCGAGCTTGGGAATGCATCAAGCAACGATTTTCAAGCCGGGTCTCCTGGGCTGGCGCCCGCGGCCCCATTTCTTCGACTTTCATCACTTTGCTTCGGATTGGGTGGAATATGCTTTCCCCCACCGTGCTGGCTGATGAGACTGGCCGCCAGATAGATCTGCTGCACGTCTGTCCCGCCGACGTCAAGCGTCATCTTGAGGAAGGGTTGCAGCGCTGGCAGTCGCAGCGTATCCTTGCTTATTTCGCCGATAGTGCTGGCGAATCGTGCTGGCTTCGGGCGATGCGTGCGGCTGTCTCGAGCATTGCGAATCCTGCGAGGCGCGGTGCTCTGCGAGCTTTGTGGGCCGCTGCTTGCTGGCCGCCTGTGCGTCTCTTTGCCATCAACAAGCGTGGCGATGACAAATGCTTTGTGTACAAAGATGCAGTTGGCACGCATGCTCATCAGTGGTTTGGTTGCCCGGGGATGCTGCAGGAGTGCGACGAACAGGACAGTAGTTTCGTCCCTCCAGAGATCCTCGAACGCAGAGCCGAGATTATTGACCAGCACGCTAATGCCAATGGTGCTGCTGGGGTCGAGTGTTTCTACCTTTCCTATGGGCTTCCGCCCCTGCCGCCTTTCCCCCCCGACGTCGAGCCGTCCCTCGAAATCTGTGGTTGGGGGGACTGGTCTGGTACGTGGGGGAGGCGTATCTTCACGGACGGGTCTGGCCTGGCGTCGGGGGTGGCTGGTCTCACCCGCTGCGGATGGGCCGTTGTGGAGATTTCGGACAGCGGTCTCCCCCTCCGAGCCCTGTACGGCCCACTTCCAGGCCGGGTGCAAACAGTACCTCGAGCCGAGTATTATGCTGCGGCTAAGGGACTGGAGGTCGCCGCGAAGCCCGCCCATGTCATTAGTGATCATTTGTCACTTGTGCGTGCTGGTCAAAACTGGGGGCCTCACAATGAACATGCTTCCTCGGCTCATGCGAGTGTCTGGCGCAGAGCCCATGCCTTGTACCCCACTGGCCGCCCCACTTTTGAATGGACCCCTGCCCATAAGAAGCTGGCTGATGTTGTTGCCGACCCCGAGGCTAGCTTCTTAAACTTTGTGGGCAACAGTTGGGCAGATATGTTCGCCAAGTGGGGGGCTGCCAAGCACGCCGTGGGGGAAGTTTTAGTCGACTACCACAAGCGTAAGCTGAAGGAGGCGAAAGCCAACGCTAAGGTGTTCGCCTGGATGGTCCAGGTGGTGGCCCAGAAGTCGGCTGCTCTGTGCCATCGGTCCCTCGAGCCAACCTCGGTGGTAGTTCCACGGCGGCCACTGTCTCCTGTTGTGCAGTTGGTCCAGCATGAGTTTCATGTGAACGCCAGGACTGGGGAGCACCGCTGTGTGCGCTGCAATATGTTTGCCCGCACTCCCATGTCTCTCAAGTCTGCAAGGCTGCAGGAGTGCCGGCCCACGGCAATCTCTAAGGGGGCGGCGGAACGGTTTTTCTCCCTCACTCCTGATGTGTACCGCCCCTCTACGTCGGCCGCCGTCGCGCTCGCGATGCAAGCGGCCGACGAGGTTGGCATCGACCCTCAACCTCTTCCCCCCTCCCTTGATGGTTCGGCGGTGGAGGAGGAGGTCGCCTTTTACAGGGCCCGTGGCCATGAGGCCGAAAGTCACGGGCCCACCATCATTTGTCTCGAGTGCGGGGCCTATATTGTGGGCCAGGGCAGGAATCCGAAGCTCTTGGATGCCTGCAAGGGCCGCTCCAAAGTCGCCTCGACGAGGGCGAATGAGCGGTCCCAGGTCTCCCGCACTCTTCGTGGGCTGCACCCGCGAACTGGGGACCCTCTGGGCCTGGATGGCCGTGGCTCGCATGCGGGAGCCAGCGGCTCTGGAGATAAGGCCTCGTCTCACGATGGGCTTGCTCCTGAAGGGAGCGGGCGTTTGTTAGGTTTCCCCCTTCCTCTGCAGGAGGCGGTGGGCGGTGGGACGGGTGCTGGTGCGTGTGCGCTTGCTGCCTCGGCGGCGACGTCGTCCTCGTCGTCGGCCGCGCCGCCACCGCCTCCGCCGCCGCTTGCCGTGGGGCGCGGCGGTGCTGGCGAGGTTGGCCGCGCTCGTGGCCGCGGACGCGGCGCTGGGAGGCGAGGACCGCCCCCGGCAACCCGCCCTGTCAAGAAGTGACCGACGGTCAGAATTCGTCCGTGGCGTCATAACTGTTCCTATGCGTTCTTCCGGGGATGAGGTAGCCGGAACACTTTAAAGTGGCTGTTCGCACCTTTCTGAGGCCCCTGGCCTCGTTCGTAACTCGGACGCCCTCCTATTGTTTGTAGGGTGCGTTCGTAACTCGGACGCCCTCCTATTGCCGCGCCTCCTCCCCCCCCCCCGGGGGGCTTCTCGGAAGGCCACGCGCCACCGCGCTCCTCCGAGGTCCCTGCGGGTCGCTGCGACCGATCGATGGATCGGAGGTACGGCCACGAGCCCGACTGAGAAATACAGGCTATCGTGTTGGGAGGAGGGGGTTGGGAAGTTATAGGGCACGGCTGTGCAGCAAGCGCGCTCAACGCACGCGATGGTAGTGATGATCTGAGCCTTTCTCCCAACCCCATGCTCCCAACTCGATAACTGTCGCCTGGCCAATACCGATCGACAAACGGATCGGCCCGCTCGGCCGGGACGAGCCCTGCTCGACAGATCATGGTCCCCTCAGCCGCCCGACGATGTCGGAGAAGAGGATCGTCACGCACTTCTGCGACTCCGCGATGCAATTCTCCCCGCTCACCAGGCGCTGTACGATGTGGGGCGGCATGATCTCGTGCAAGAGCTTCGTGTGCTGAGCGTGCTCTACCTGAGAACAGCTGGAGTTAGCACGGGGATGTTGAGGCGGAGTAGGAGTAGGAGGAAGAGGAGTGCACGCCCACGGTACCTCTATCTCGTGCAACCGCTTCACCTGAATCGCGGTTTGTACACGCGCAATGAGCACAGCCGAATCGAATGGCTTTGCGACGTAGTCATTACAACCGCTCCCCAGGCCCTGGATGATAGAGTCCGGCACTGGCTCATTGGCGCTGAGCATGATGATTGGCAAAGCGGACGCGGGCAATTGCAGCTGCTTGCGGATGGTCGTGCACACCTCGTAGCCTGACATCCCGGGCATCATCACATCGAGCAGCACCACATCTGGAAGCCTCGAGTGCTCATCGAAATACCGGAGCGCCTCCGAACCGTCCATCGCGACGTGAACCTCGTAGTCTGCAAGCGCGGATCTGATGACCTCCTGGTTCACTGCGTCGTCGTCGACGGAGAGCACGACAGGGCGACCCGCTGGAGCACAGCGTGGCCGCTGCGGCGACGGCGACGGCCTCCGCGGCAGGCTGTCGCAGGACGGCGACCTCTGCCGCCGCAGAGCGCGAAGAGGCACGCTGGTGCTGCCGTCGAGCCGCAGGCTGGGGTGACGGCCCCCCCGCCGCTGCACAAGGGCAGGACCTTGGGGAAACCAACGTGTACAGGACAGTGTTTAACACATCGGAGGTTTAAACATATCGGATGTTAATACATGGCTAATGTAGGAATGAACTCATGCATGAGCTCATCGCTGATACACGATCCGCACGCGGAGCATGTCTTAATTTTCCGGGCAAAGCAACCTAACAGCGATGTGTAGAAGCATATCTTGAAGCATTGCCCTTGAGATTCATGTAGGAGTCCTGTTGTAGAATTCTGGTGTAATCGCAGTCGCAGTCGCAATCGCTATGGCAGTTGCAGTGGCAACGGCAGTCGCAGTCGCAGCCTCAGCCTCAGCCTGCCTCAGCCTCAGCCTGCATCAGCCTCAGCCTCAGCCTCAGCCTGCCTCAGCATCAGCCTGCCTCAGCGTCTGCCTCAGCCTGCCTCAGCATCAGCCTCAGCCTCAACCTCAGCCTCAACCTCAGCCTGCCTCAGCCTCAGCCTGCGTCAGCCTCGGCCTCAGCCTCAGCCTGCCTCAGCCTCAGCCTGCATCAGCCTCAGCCTCAGCCTCAGCCTCAACCTCAGCCTCAGCCTCAGCTTGAGCCTGCCTCAGCCTCAGCTTCAGCCTGCCTCAGCCTCAGCCTCAGCCTCAGCCTCAACGGTGGATTCCCCATAGTCACTGGCGGCGCTGGGGGCCTCAGCATCAGCCTCAGTGGTGGATTCCCCATAGTCACTGGCGGCGCTGGGGGCCTCAGCCTCAGCCTCAGTGGTGCGTTCCCCATAGTTACTGGCGGCGCTGGGGGCCTCAGCCTCAGCCTCAGTGGTGCATTCCCCATAGTCACTGGCGGCGCTGGGGGCCTCAGCCTCAGCCTCAGTGGTGCGTTCCCCATAGTCGCTGGCGGATCCGCGGATTCTCCCCGGATCCTGCCCGGACCCCCCTGTGGAGTCATGATGCTTTCTTTTGAGACTATTAGAAAACTATCAGTCTTCGCTGTTAGGTAAAAACGGCACTGTACCGATACGGCTGCCCCACGGACCTCTCCCGGGGTCCGTTCCGACCCGGATTTCGAAGCGAATCCAGCGCTGGCGACGAGGGTTTCAGGGAGGCCCAGACGGGGAAAACGGGCGAGGGGGTAGAGTCAGGTCAGGCCTGTCCCCCTGGAAGGGGATTTTGGACGAAAAATCAAGTATCCCCGAAATGCTCAAAAATGGTCAACTATAGTGAACAAATCGTCCCCCACGACTATCTTTTACTATTTCTTGATATCCCTCCTGTAAAGGGACATGGCCGACTTTAAGGGTAGAGGTATAGGTACCTCTTCTTCCAATGAAGACCTGGCGGCACGCTGACAGCTCTCTCAGGGACCTGCGGCGAGTGCAGGACGGGCAGGCGCACGGTGAAGACGGAACCGCGGCCCTGCGTGCTCTTGACGACGATGCTGCCCCCGTGCTGCTCCACGACGCCTTTGGAGACCGCCAGCCCGATGCCGATGCCCTCGAAGTTCCTGGCCGTCGAGCTGTCCTCCTGTCGGGAGCGGCCAAGAGGGGGGTGTCCAAGAGGGGGGGTGCAAATCATGACCGGCGGCATGTGCGCGGCCCAGCGGGGGGGCCTGGGACGTAATGAAACAAGAAGAGGCACCATGAAATCTGAGAAAATATCATGGCCCGCGCCATGATATCCACCCCCCTAGTCATCACCCACCTCTTTGCCGCCCCCGGTCCTGCTCGAAGGGCTCGAAGATGCGCTTCAGGGCCTCGGGCGCGATGCCGATGCCGGTGTCGCTGACACTGATGCTGACGAGGCCATCGGCGCTGTCGCGCTGTGCCGACACCTCGATGGACCCGCTCCCACTCCTACAACGCCTCCTCCTCCTCCTCCAGCTTCTCCTCCAGCTTCTCCTCCTCCTCCTTCTCCTCCTCCTCCTCCTCCTCCCCTTCCTTTTCTCCTCCTTCCCCATGTCCCCCACCCCATCGCCCTCCTCCTCCTTCTTTTTCCCCCCGTCCAACTCATCCTCGCCCTCCATCTCCTTGTCCTTCTCCACCTCCGTCTCCTCCTCCTCCTCCTCCTCCTCCTCCTCGTCCTCATGAGCACCTCGATGCGCCCGCTTCGGCAAAACTTGCACGAGTTCGTGAGGAGGTTGAAGAACACCTGTGCGAGAAGGCGGGGGAGGGGAGGAGCGGGCGGAGGTGCGGGAGGAAGGTGAGAACGAGGAAGCGTATGAGGGACGACGGCCAGTGTGATAATGAGTAATGGGACAGAAGATGTGCAGGGGGAAAGGATGACGACGAGGATGATAAGGAGAGAAGGCGCAGGAGAGGCAGGATAGACGGGGGACAGCGTTAGGAAGGAACCTAAGGAGGAAGGCGACGAGAACGAGTAGCGAATGGAAGAGGCGATGAAAGGTGATGATGAACATGAAGAGGAAGCGCCTGCGTGAGCTTGTACGCGTCCCCCTCGACAAGAGGGAGCGTCCCATCGACGATCGTGTTGACGAGGGAGCACTCGCGGCTTAACAGAGGTCGCATTGCCTCGTCTGTGGCGTTATGGCGGAAGAGGAGGCGAGGAGGGCGGGGGGAGTGGAGGTGGGAGGCGGGAGGAGGAGAATAGGAAGAGTACAAGGCTGCATATGAGAGGAAGCGTCGCCTTGTCTGTGGCGTTCGAGACGAGCTCGATCACCTGATGCCAGGTCAGAGCCCCCCATCCCGAGCCAGGAGAAGGAGGAGGATGAGGCAGAAGTCCAGTGTCCGTGAAGAGCGGACACCATGGGGCGGGCCCATTCGAAGAGATGCGTGGCACTGTGGCGGAAGAGTAGGAGGAAGAGGAAGACGTGAGGGTGAAGGAGGAGGAGAAAAGGAGGGAGAAGAGGAGGAGCAGGAGCGACGGAGGGGGGGAGGAGCAGCAGGAGCAGGAGGAGGAGGAGCAGGAGGAGGAGGAGGAGGAGGAGAAGCACGAAAAGAGAGAGGAGGAGAAACGTGCAGATGGTGGGGGAGCAGACGCAGGAGCGCCCCAGCAGGAGCAGGGGAGGGGGGGGGGAAGGCACCCCCTGCGCCCGCGGCAGGGACTGCGAGGAATGGGGGCCAGACGGGCCGCCCGGATGGGTGATCCCCCCGGCCGCGCCGCGACTGGCTGCAAGAAAGAACCGGCAGAGGCGGAGGAGGAGCAGGGAGAGGAGGAGGAGGAGGAGGAGGAGGAGGAGGAGGAGGAGGAGGAGGAGGAGGAGGAGGAACAGGCAGGAGGAGGAAGGAGGAGGGGAGGGGGCTGGGAGGGGGAGGGGGCAGGGGAGGGTAGGAGGGAGAGCGGGGGAGGGCGAGACTGGGTGCGCTCGCGCCGGATCTGACCTCCTACCCTCTCCCACCGAACCTTTCCCACCCGTCCCCTCCCAGCCCCTTCTCGATCCGCCGACGCGTGTCAGATCGGACCCCCTAGAACTCAACAGAAAATAACCCTATCGTGTCATGCGCGGAACATTGGAGAGACGGAGCTGCGGAAGAGACCCCCCCCGAAACCGCACGGTGCCCGTGTGGTGCCGAGGCAATTCCATCCAGAAAACGTCCCATCTGAACCCCCCTATCAGATCCTGTCCCGCCCCATGCTGCCGTCCCATCTCGTCGTCACGTCTCGTGCCATCCCTTGCTTCCATGCAGCTCGGCAGTTGCAGTGCTTCGAACGTCAGCGCGATGTCGCACGCGTGCCTGCACATGTACACTGCCACGCAGGTGCACACTCTCTTGATGAGTCGCGCTGGTGTGTGAAGCGGCGTCGAGCATGGGTCCAGCCGCGGGGTGCGCGCGTGGCGTGAGTCAAGGGGCCCAAGGACACACACACACACACATAAATACACAAATCCCAGGATTCCCCATATGTTCCATATTGTCTGGGTGTTCGTCTTCCCCCCCACTTCCCATATGTTCCCGTCTTCTCCTGGGAGTCGATGATTCATTGCGTCTGTGCGTGTATTTCCTTCCTGAGTTAGGAGGGTGCGCGTGGCCGATGCCACGGTGCCGACGCCAGCGCGATGACGCACGTTTCACGTGCACACGGTGAGGTGGGGGGTGGGCCGGCGGAGCAGAAAAGTCTTACGGTGTACACTGTGTCTGCCTCCTGACCTTCCCTCAGACGGCCAGTAGACGCTCCTCAGACGTCGTCATGACGGCAAACCTCCCCAAAGGACCCCAGCAGGACTCACGAATCCCCCCGAGGAGCCGGATGCCGTCAAGCCACTCCCGACGCCCATACAGCTCCCCTGCTAGGGGAACGGAGAATGGCACAAGCATAAAAACTCGGAGGTCCGCGCGGTTGTCTTGGATCCGCGCTGGACCCCCCTCCCTGGCGCGCTCCGCGCGCCAGGGGCGGCGCCGGAGGCGCCGCCAGGGGGCCCTGGCGCCGATCCGAGAAATCCGCGCGGACCTCCGCGTTGGTTTATGTTTATGTCATGGTTCGTCTCCCTACTTGCGAACAGCATGCTGCTCACAGGAAACAACATACGGGAGCGGCCAAGAGGGGGGTGTCCAACAGGGGGGGGTGCAAATCATGACCGGCGGTATGTGCGCGGCCCAGCGGGGGGGCCCGGGACGTAATGGAACAAGAATAGGCGCCATGAAATCTGCGGAGATATCATGGCCCCCGCCATTGGCCATCGCTCGGACGTCCATTCCCTGTGTTTTTGTTCGGTTTTGTGCGTGCTATTTTTCGCCAAATGATCAAGGATGCTCCTCGATGGTCCTCGCAGAAGGAAAAGTGCACACGTCCGAGCGATGCCAAGGCCATGATATCCATCCCCCCGTAGTCATCACCCCCCTGTTTGCCGCCCCCGAAACATGCGCTGCCACCCGAGCAGGTCTATAGAAGCTACCTCCGAAGCGGGCTCGTGCGCGGCGGCCGCCACGGCGCGCGCCGCGGGGCGCTCTGCTGCGCGCTGGCCGCGGGTACAGCGGCCACCATTCGCATCGGAGCCACCCCACATGTGAGTCGTTCGCCGGGAAGGCTCGCAGATCTACTCGGGAGCGGCCAAGAGGGGGGCGTCCAAGAGGGGGGGGTGCAAATCATGACCAGCGGCATGTGCGCGGCCCAGCGGGGGGACGTAATGAAATAAGAAGGGGCGCCATGAGATCTGGGGAAATATCATGGCCCCCGCCATGATATCCACCCCCCCCTAGTCATCACCCCCCTCTTTTCCGCCCCCGATCTACGGGAGCCGTACCCATCGGCCGGGAGAAGCAGTCAGAAGCAGGAAGCAGGAGGGCGCTGATGAGAGTAGATATGGTGTCCGCCCGCCTCCTGAAGAGGACGGGAAAGGGAAGCCGCTCGATCATTGAAGTAGGAGGGCGCTTAAAGTATACTGGAATCTGGAAATCCAAAAACACCGACTTTCAACACGACCGATGGGTTCATAGTTGTGTTGCAGATTCGGCGAGGTAGAAAATCCTGGGGTCACTAGAGTCTGTGGTCGATCTCTGACTCGACACATTATATTATGCGCGGCGGCGGCACTGGCGAAACAAGCGGCGCAGACGCCTGAGGGGATCGTCCCTCCGTGTGCATGCGGCCATGCACGGGCATCTGCATGCTAGTGTGTGTGGTGTGTGTGTGTGTGTTCGTGTTTGTGTTTGCGTGTGTGTGTGAGTGTGTGTGTCTGTGTGTAAGAGCACGCCGCCCCAGGCATACGCGTGGAGGGCTCCGCCCCGAGCGCACCTCCTCGAGGATGGCGGACAGGTGGACCGGATCCTTGACGAGCGGCTTCTTGTCCTTATTCTTGCTCCGCTGAGCGGTCATGTCCATGATGTTCGCCACGAGGTCCAGGAGGCGAGTGGCGCAGGAGTCTCGGTGACGGGGCCGACCACACGGCCGGACGCGTCCCCTGGTCGAAGCCCCGATCGTTGCAGAGATATCGGGAGGTCCCCGTCCGATCTTCCCCTCTCCCCACCTCCCCCTGCTCCCTCGGCGGGGGGCGAGGAAGGAGGGGATCGGCTTGGCGGGGGGAGAAGGAAGAGGAGGAGGAGGAGGAGGAGGAGGAGGAGGAGGGCGAAGGAAGAGGAGGAGGAGGAGGAGGAAGAGAAGGAGGAGGAGGAGGAGGAGGAGGAGGAGGGGGCGAGGAAGGAGGAGAAGGGAGAAGGAAGAGGAAAGAGGGGAACACGGGCGAGGGAGAGCAGCAAGACGAGGGAGCGAGGACGGGTTCGGGAAGCATGCGAGGATGCAGGAAGAGAACTAATGTGCTTCTGAGGGCGACCCCTCCCCCTCCTCTTCTTCCTCCTCCTCCTCCTCCTCCTCCTCCTCCTCTTCCTCTTATTCTCCCTCCTCTTCTTCCTCCGCCCTCCTCCCTATCCTCCTCCTCCTCCTCCTCCTCTTCTCCTCCTCCTCCTCCTCGCTCCTCCTCCTCTCCTCCTCCTCCTCGCTCCTCCTCCTCCTCCTCGCTCCTCCTCCTCCTCCTCGCTCCTCCTCCTCCTCCTCGCTCCTCCTCCTCCTCCTCGCTCCTCCTCCTCCTCCTCCTCCTCCGGATCCTCTGCCTTCTGCTCTTCCTCATCGACTTCCTCCACCGTCACCGCTCATTCCCCTCCTGCTGGGCTGGTGGTCCCCAAGCCGTAACGACAGTACCTGAAGCCATGCCGATCACAGTCTGGGCCAGCCCAAAGCTGGCCCGTGCAACAAACGATCACGCGACTGCGATGAGCAATCGCTGCAAGCATGACGTGTCCTGATCCTCATCCTCCTCCCGTCTCACTCCTCAACGTCGTTTTTATCATCCTCGCTCCTACTCCTCCTCATCATCATCAGCATCATAATCATCATCATCATCATCATCATCATCATCATCATCATCATCATCATCATCATCATCATCATCATCATCAGCATCATCATCAGAATCATCATCAGCATCAGCATCAGCATCGTCATCATCAGCAGCATCACCATCATCACCATCATCATCATCATCATCCTCACTTCTCCTCGATCTTCCGCGTGCACCTCCGCGTTCCAGCTCTCTGATCCTTCCGGACCTCCTCCATTCTCCGCCGTCTCATCCACCGCTCTCATCGCTCCTCCTTCACTTCCTGCCATGCTCGGTCACAAGCTGGTTCATGTGCGACCAGCCCACCCAGAGCGAGAACAAAGGCAATAGCCCATAGGTTGTCCTTCGCAGGCATTGGTGTTGGCATTCTTGTCCTTCTCGAGTCGGAGCTCACCAGGGTAAAAGCTGTCGGAGAGCGTGCGTCAAGCTGCTGAGTAAGCCAGCGACGAGTCGGATCGATGCTCCGACGAACGTCTTTCTTAGCTGAGAAGACTGGTTCTCATGCCCATCACTAGCAACCATCGTATCATTATTATGTTCACCCTGCTCATCCTCCTCATCCTCCCCCTCCTCGCGATGCAGTCGCTCCACCTCGTCCACCTCCTCCTCCTCCTCCTCCTCTTCCTCCTCCTCCTCCTCACCCTCCTCCTACTCCTCCTCCTCCTCCTCCTCCTCCTCCTCCTCCTCCTCCTCCTCCTCACTCTCCCTTCCTGCTCCTCCTTCCCGCACACCACCCGCTCCTCCGTCACGCTCCTCCTGATCCTCTCTGGCCGCAGCGGAGGACGCCGGGGCCGCCGAGGCAGGAGCGCACCATCCCCAGCTGCTTGCGGCGGCCCTCGCTGGCCTCGTCCTTCTCGAGGGCCGCCGAGAGGCCGCAGATGCCGTGGAGCGGACTGCGAAGCTCGTGCGACACGGTGGCCATGAAGCGGTTCTTGCGCTCCTCCAGCGCCTGAGGTAGGGGAGCAAGCGAGGACGGAAACGACACACTCGGAGGCGAGGCGAGGCGAGGCGAGGCGAGGGCGCCAGAGTCGGGCACGCAGGTGTGCCCGTGCCCTTTTGGGCACGGCGCAAGAGGCCGTGGCCTCAGATCGTGTCCGAATAGACGTCGTGGACGAAGTTCCTCAAGGACCGCGCGGAGGTCCGCGCGGAGTCCTCGGACTGGCGCTGGATCCCCCCTCCCTGGCGCGCGGAGCGCGCCAGGGGCAGCGCCGGAGGCGCCGCCAGGGAGGGCCCCAGCGCCCATCCGAGAAATCCGCGCGGACCTCCGAGTTTGCATGTTCATGTTATTGTTTTCGGCGGTGGACAAGCCTTCCTTTAGTAAACCACCCTTTCCTCCTCCTCCTCCTCCTCCTCCTCCTCCTCCTCCTCCTCCTCCTCCTCCTCCTCCTAACGGCCTAGGACCGAAACCGACGGGCCTGGACCCGCAAAAGTGACGGCCGCGACGCCCTCTCGCGAAGCGAAAGCGGCCAACTCGCTGATCGACGTGTCAGGGTAGGAGGTCTGTGGACCAGTATGGTGGATCTTACGCTGCAGCTGTGGAAATCGAAAGATCGGGGGGCCTCACGGACCCCCCCAGAGCGGCTTTTTTTCCGTGGGCTAACACCCCATGGCCGCATGGGAAATCTTAGGACAGGACGTCGAAGCCTCCGGAAGTGGAGCTGCAGAAAGCCACCTCCAGGAAATGATGCCACTTGAACTGCCACATGCGAGCCCGAGTTGGGTCGCGCGTTCGAGGAGGGCTGATAACCAAGGACTGGATGAAGAAGAGGGTCCTCCATCCAGGCCCTTATCCTGCTCTGCGCCCTATTCCCTCTATGTATGGGGCAAGCGGGACTGGTTGAACTGGTGGAGTGGGAAGGGCGCGATCCCTGATGAATAACTAATCACATGGCGATCTAACGAAGGACCGAACTATCCGGATGACTGACAAACACGTGACAGCCACGGGATAATATCACACGACAACGAGGGAACCACCAATCTACAACAGCGGGACAGCCATGGGACCACAAGAAACCCGCACGGGTCCAACGTACGGGGCAGGGTAAAAAACGCGGGAACTGCCAGGCACCGCCCCAGGGAGAAAGCGACACGTCTTGCCGACCTTGCCCCTGTCTGCGGCCGATGACCCCCCCTCGCCTGCACGCGCAACTTCGACTCGCCCGCACTCATCGGGCTTCTACTCAACCAGGGCAATGCAAACCTGGGCCAGTCAGTCTTCGCAGGATTCTGCAGGATCCTGTGCGCTGGCCTGGGTCAATGCAACCCCGGCTGCACAGTATCCTGCAAGATGCGGCACTCTGGCTGACACCCGCTTGCATGTGACGCCCCGCCTCCAGGCCCCCGAGCGCAACCGCAACCAATCCGATGCATCCCGGTGGCGTCCACTCCGCTGATCTTGGGTCTAGCCTCCGGGCCTTCGGCCAGACACCGGGATGCGCTTGGAGCTCCCCTCCCGGCGGCCGGCCTGGCGTGGGCTGGTGCCAAGGTCCCCCCCCCCACACAAGCAGGGGGCGAATGTCCGTGCGGACAGGAAGAGAAAGAAGAGAAGAACCCCGCCGCCAGACGTCGCGAAGAGAGCACGTCTTGGCGAACAATAGCGCGACTGGAACTCTCGACCCTATCTCTGAGCGCGATTCCTCCTCCTCCCCCTCCGCCTCCTCCGCCTCCTGGTCCTCCTCTTCCTCCTCCTTCTCCTCCTCCCCCTCGCCTCCCACTCCTCCTCCTCCTCCGCCTCCTCCGCCTCCTTCAGTGCAGGAGGAGCTCGGTAGAGCCTGTGGTTTTCAGCTTGTCTGGCAGGAGTCCAAAGCAGCGCCAGGACGAACACACATGGTCGATGGCTTTGCGAAATGGTCGGGCTTAGTTCGCACCAGCTTGGAAAGATACTCAGATCTTCGCCGACACGGTAAAAACCCTCGTCAACAGGCGTCGTGCCTAGGTCACTTGCAGGCACGGTGTCGGGAGGCGGAGCGCCTCGACGCAGTTGAGTAATTTGGCAAAGACGAGACTGAGGACCGCGCGTGCTGGCTACGATGGGCCAGCGCAATTGTCAGCTCCTCGGATGCCGAGCTGCAAGGTCTCGTTTCGCTCACCGAGAGGCTGGCAGGTCGAGCCCAAGGCAGAGCAATGAGCAAGCGTCGTAGTGAGTTCGTCTCTTGGGCCAAGACGCAGTGGAAGTACAAGCCAGGCAGGTTACACGCTTTGGTCAAGATCCCTGGCCCAGTTGCACAAACACCTCTGGTCGGAGGTGAGGTGCTGGCTGACCCAGCCAGCCAGATGGAGCACAAACGCAGCAGCTGGGAAAAGTTGTGGACAGATCCCGTGGACACGTTTGAAGACATCCTCCAGACCATGGCTCGCTTACGAACGCTAGCGGCTGATGATCCCCTTCCCCCTTTCGACCTGGACAAAGTAGATGAGGTGGTCCGGAAATTACCTACAAAGGCGTCGGGAGTGGACACAATCAGACCTTAAGATATCCAAAGACTCCCTCCTATTGGACGGATGGAGTTTAGGCAGCTATTGGAAGACATCGAAACGGCAGGCCTTTTGCCCGCGCAGCTGATGGGCACGATTGGAGCTTTCACACCTAAGCCCAAAGGAGGCGAGCGGGTCGTTGGTTTGCTACCTGAGACGTCGAAGATATGGAGTCGCATTCGGTACGGAGTTACCTTTTCTGGGTAATATTGATTGGAAGCTTTCTGGGACACCGCAGTGGCAGGTAGTAGTGCCATGCGAACAGCGCTTGAACGTGCGCTGCTTGACGACACTGCAGCGTTTCTGGTGTCTCTACCGCCACACTACTGCTTAACTTCGAGAAGTTCTATGACTCGTTGCCCTGGGTGTTGCTATCAGAAGCGGCTCTATCGCTGGAGGTTCCTCATATTGTGGTGCTGTTGGAAGTTCAACTTTGTGCGGCGTCACAGTATATTCGAGGTCAGCTGGGAGCTGCTGACCCGATTCAGTCCACGAGGTCCTTAGTGGCTGGCTCTCCACTTGGGGTAAGGATGGCCAATACGTTCTTACATCCTCTGCCTCAGACAGCCCACCACAGGGCTGCTTTCGCCACCTGTTGGACCTTCATCGATGACACGGTCGCGAGGGATGAGGGCTCGAGGCAGGTGGCCAAGGACCCGCTGTTATCCTCCACGCAGGTGTTGTGCGAGGAAGCTCGTTCGCGTCGGCGTATCATTTCTGACAAGTCTGTTACTATCGCCTCGAGCCCCCAAGACGGTCGCGAAGTGGCAGGTGTGTTACGACGACAGGGCATACCTGTGAAGTTTTGCCTGGATGGTGTGGACCTAGGAGTTGACACAGCAGCTGGTCGTCGGAGAGTGGTGAAGAAATCTACTCTCAGATCGGCTGCAGGGGCTAAGAGAGCTATGAACATTACCAGGCTTAGGCGCCATGTTGCTCTTCGTCGTGCCACCCATGATTTGTGGACCATAGGCACGTTACCGCACAGCTCGTATGGCTTTCAGGTTCAAAGCTTATCGCCGTCCAGTCTTACGTTGCTCAGGAGTCAGGCGGCTAACGCGAGCACGGGGCCCATCAAAGGCAGGTGCCGCACCACGTCCCTGGCCGTGACCTACTGGCTCTAGGACCCTGACTTGGAGCTTCGTCGTGCGCTGGTTGCAGAATAGTGTGTTCCCTAGAAAAGCGATCTCAGCATCCATTCGCGAGTTGAGCGAGCGTGGCCCCCAATTCTTGGCAGGTTGGTGGATGCGGGCAGTCGCAGATGGTCTGTGGTCAAAGGGCCGCTATCGGCGTTGATCGCCACCATCCTTGACGCAGGATGGCAACCGCGCTCGGCCACACACTGGCTACGGCCGTCAGAAGGTGCATGGGAGACATGCCATTTTCCAACGTCTCGGAGGTTCTGGATGAGCTGGTCGATGATTTGCGTCGCAAAATGTGGGTGAAGGCCGCCGCTCATGAAGCTGGGGGGATCTGTTTCGTGGCGCAGACCTCTATTGGGCCAGGCGCGAGCTGGCGAGCTCGACCAGGTCGGCCTGAACGTGTGCGTCACCACTGGCGCGCAGTGGACGAGGGAGCGCCAGTATCTGCTGGGCCACCCTGAGAAAAAGAAATGCCCACGTTGTATTGAGGAAGATAAGATGTTGCTCCACAGGATTTGGCTCTGTAAGTGTAATGTGGGCCACGCTGATTACAGCAGCACTGATTATCTGGTGCCCCAGGCCCTTGCGGGTTCAGAAACCAACCCTGCCTTGTGGCTTCGTGGGGTCCCTCCTGTGGAGCTCACTCATCCAATGTTCTGCGACCCCGATCCTGAACTCTCTGGCCGTTCCCTCGGATCCCAGAGCCTCCGTGACTGCCCGGCGTCCAGAGACTCCGAAGCGAACTTCGTCTTCGGAGATGGTTCAGGGGGCAAGTTTTCTTCCGACCCTGGGAGAAGACGGTGCGGCTCGGCCGCCGTTGTAGTGCGATGGGCTGCTTCCAGCGGTCCAGGCTCCTGAGAGGTCCTTGGAGGTTTCTCGGACGTCCTGCGAGGTCGAAGGCAGACAGTGCCTTGGTCTGAGCTGCAGGCGTTCGCCTTGGCCTTGGAGCTGACCTCAGGACCCATCGTTTACGTAATCGATGGTTTCCCTTTGTTGTCGGGTTGGGGTCGGAGGATTGCTTGGAACATCGTTGGCTCCAATTCGGGTATCTGGCTGAGAATTAAAACCGCCGTGGACGGCAGAAGGGAGGGCTCCGTCAGAGTTGTTTGGACCCCCTCGCACGTCACGGAGGACAATCCCGAATTGAGTGATCATGAAAAGTTTTTGACGGCTGGCAACAGGCTGGCTGACGAAGCGCCTGTGGGGGCAGCATCCAGGGCCTGGTCTCTCAGTCTGGTCGGACCTGAACCCAAGACCGACCTCTGAGACGTCACTGCTGCCCGAAGGGCCCTGGCCGACGCAGCCGGTGCCGATCCTTGAAGGGACCCCTTGGACAAAGCCTGCGCTGGCCCTGAGGTGGCCAGGAGGGGCTCCAAATCAGAGGTCGCCGTTCGGAATTCGCCCACCGCTTCGAGGCGATAGGCAGGGCGTCTCGTTGCAGTAAGTGCGGCTCTCTTTCGTCCAAGGATGCCCTTGTTGAAGTCTGTGAGGCTACTTGCGTTTCAAACGTCCTGGCTGATTTTCCCAGGGATGTGGTCCTCCAGGTTCGGGGTCCCGTGGAGGTTCGCGGGACCGTGCTTCACGGATCTCACTCCCTGGCCCGCTGGGATCTGCGTAAATTGTCATGTTTGTGTTAGATGCGGTCGTTCGGCCACTACTGATGGCCGCCAGCTTTTTGGAGAGTTCCTTCCCATCACTCGCAAAGGTCGGGAGAATCTGGGGCGCATCAAGGAGGGGCTCTTCCCTTCTTCTTCTGGCGCCTCGAGGTCAGCACGAGACATCGCTCACGCGCGGGTGTCGTCCGCAATGGCAAAGCGTGATGTGGTGGAGCGACAGCCGGAACCCACCCCGTCGTTTGAGGCGGCCCCTCCCCACCCTCCTTGCGGAGGGGGTGGAGGGCTGGGGGGAGGGGACCTTCAGGGTCGCCCCTGGGGGTTCTGGCTCTCTCTTCCCTCCTCCCCTCTCTTTCCCTCGTCCTCTGCACGCTGTGCGTTGCAAAGAGTAGAGAATAGTCCTCCTCCGCCTCTGCCTCCTCCTGGAGCTGGAGGAGGGGCAGCGGGCCTCGTAGTGTGCCACCTGTGTGCGGTCCTGGCCGACCAGCACGATCCCGGCGGTACTGGCCTTGTGCTCGGGATCCGCGTTGCGCTGCCGAGTGGCGCTCAGTATCAAGGAGACGACCTTGGGCGGGGAGGACGAGAGGGTGGGGACCCAGACATAATCGCGTCGTACAAAAAAATCAGGACGGCGGGTTGTTGGCAGTTTTCGGCCTCGGGGGGCCCTCGCCGGGCCTCGGGACCGTCAAAAACAACTCAGCATGAAAAACCGGTCCCGGGGAAATGATCGGGACTTCCAGGGGGCCCGCATTGGAAACAGTCAGGGCGTCATGTCTGCAGGTAAGAGGGAGGAGGGATGGTTTGGGAGGCTTGAAAAATGCGGAACTCTTCTCTTTCTCTGTCTCTCTCTCTCTCGCTCTCTTTCTCTCTGCCCCTGGAGACGAGGGGATGGGAAAGAGGGGAGGACGAGGAGGACGGGAGGAGGGGAGGAGAAGAGGACGGATAAGGAGCAGGAGGGAGGAGGAGGAGGAGGAGGAGGAGGAGGAGGAGGAGAAGGAGGAGGAGGACGATGGTAACGACGGCGAGGAGAGGAGGAGCACCGCATCTCCGCAGCTGCTGTTGGCGCTGGCACTGTCATCCTGCGCCACTGTGAGGTCCGCATGGAAGCACTTCGTGGTGTCCGCATCGCCGTCGCTGCAGGCCTTGAGCGCCGCCGCCACCTCGGTGTGGCAGGATGGCGATATGACCTCCAGCAGCTTCACGCCCTTCATTTTCTCCGCGCTCCGCCCTGTAAGCTCGAACAGCTTCCGGTTCCAAACCACGACACGGTCATCCATGTCGACGGTTAAAATAGGTGCGCTGGCCGAGTTGATGAGCTCCACGAGGTCGTCGGCGGCGACCGTTGCCTTCTGCCGGGAAGCGTAGACTGCTGCCATAAGATTCTGCTGTCGCATCGCAAGGAGAAATGCTGAATGCCCGACCTTTGCTGCAGAATCCCCAAAAGTGTACAGCGCCTGTTCCGTCACAGGCTGTATGAGGTCAAACGCAGCAAGGAGGTACACTATCCCGTACACTCCAAACAAAGAGACCTGCACCAGTACCATAGCACAGGTGAGGCGACCTGAAGGTGCAGCGATGTCGCAGTTGCTACACCAATTAAACTGGTCCCAGGTTGCCAGGCCATAGCCAACAAAAGATACCACAATAAGTACCATCCGCCAGAAGTAGTCGTGGATCACGAGTGCCAACCAACTCGAATAAATGTACACCATTGTCAACAATCCGCAACCGTCCATTGGCACGTTGGGGCGTAGAAGAATGCCAAGAGCTGTCTGGTAGGGTTTCCGTAATATTCTAAGGCCCCCCTCCCTCCCAGTCGCACCCAGTTGCATACATCGCCCCCCCCTACCGCGGCCATGATCATCCTAAAAACCATGGGGCCGCGCTCCCGAAGCCATGACGCCGCGTAGAAAACCATGGCTCCGCGGCCCGAGCTTCCAAGGAGGCTCCGGCAGGCAACCAGGCCAACCAAGGTGGCTCAAAATGCCTCGAGGACGCCCCCACATGGCCCCAAGGCGGCCCAATACATCGCGTCTGCAAATGATCTTACGAATTCGGAGCAGTCGCCTTGTGGCGGTGGCGGTGGAGCGTCTTCTGGACTCCCATGGCCTGATGGCGGCGTGCGATGAGAACGCCATGTGCACGGGAAGAAGCTCAGGTTGACCTGCAAATGCTCAGGCGCCCCCGCTCATGAGTTTACACGGTCTGGTGGCGGTGACCGATGAGAGCACTTCGTTTTTTTTCAAGCCGGCCGACGGGCAGTCCCTATCAAACAGCAGTGGTGGAAGCGCATCGGCATACGGTGCTGATGACCGACCTATGTTTCAGGTCGAGCTCAAAGTGCCGAGATGCTCCTCGTGTGTGAAGCAATAAACTGCGGTGGCGTTTCCCGATGTGTACACCGTTTGGCGACTATATTACTATTTTACTACAAAGAACCTGAACGGACCTTGGGATGCAGCCACAGGGGGGCTGCGCCCCATCACGCCGCTGGCGTGGCCCATGACGTTGTACGAGGCCCCGCGCGCCTAACGGGGGCTCGTTTGACATACTGTACCTGCTTGGACTCGCTCACTCACGACGCGTGCACGACGATACCCTGTGCTGACGTTGTCATGCGTGCATTCCTTTATTCGCGAAACTACCGTAAACATTCAGTATGCCCTCAAGATGGCCCCAAATGCCTTCCAGAACCCGACAGGGCCACAAGATGACACCAAACAGGTTCCGAGCATCGCTGATTCCTCAGAAAAGTTGCTGGATTGTTTTCGCACTCTAACCTTTTCGGGCAACCGTCAGCTCAAGATGGCGCACAAATTCCTCAAGATGAGCCTAAGACGGCCCAAGAGGCCCCCAAGAGGGCCCCAACATGGCCCAAGAGGACTCCTCGATGGCTCGGGAGGCATCCGAGACGGCCCCTAGACGGCCCCAGTGGGCCTCTGGAGTGACCCTAGACGGCCCTAGAAGGCTCTTCCACGGCCCTGGACGGCACCTAAACGGCCCCACGACGGCCTCCAGACAGCCCACATACGGCCAAGAGGCCCCCAAGACGGCCGAAGAGAGCACCAGGACGCATTAAGAGGGCCTCCCTCGAGTAGACGCCGCTCAGAATGCTGGGCTGGCACGGTGGCGGGACTTGCCGCAGGCAGCTGGATATCGCTGGCACCGTGTCGACGGCTGGTGTGTGCGGTAGACGGGGTATTGAGCGTCCCACGATTGTCATCAAGAATGGGACTGCGATGGACCACTCAACATACCGAAGCCCATAGACTGGGCGGTTGGATGCGAATGGATCTGGATGAACTACCCCGAAGGAGCCCATCGCCATGACGGAGTAGAACGCGAACAACACCCCATACACGACAAGCAAAAGCTGATTGTCCGTCCATCTGGGTAGGTATATTCGAGGTACTAACTCGTCGCAGTCGCCTTTCTCTGACAAGTGACGGCCGTGCGCCATCGATGCGAAGACCTGAATAAGTTCAAGAATGCCTGCCGTACCCAAGATGAACGTCGCCTTGTGGAAGTGCACTAGCTCTGTCGCGGTGTCACCATGTTCTGCTGCACCAGTAGGCTCTTGCCGAACCCCTTTGACCTTGCCCATGTCAACCCATAGGTAAGCCACCATAGTGAGCACAGCTGTTATAAATGAAGTTGCGTGACAACATAGTCCAATCACTGTTGGCGCCATCGCAAGCAGCCGCTGACCTTGACTGATCCGGACAAAGTTTTAAGCCGACTCCATCGTGTCGTGCTTTGAGCCAGAACAAAAACCATACAACGGGCGGGCAACGCTGGCAATGCTTCCATAGGGCGGGTCTTCCTCATCGTCGCAATCCCTACCATCCTCCATATCGCCATCATCCGCGCACTTCGACTCGCGCCCACGACACGACCCAAGCATCCTTCCCCTCCTCCCTCCTCCTCCCTCAGCATCCTTCCATCCATCCCTTTCTCCTTCCCTGTCTCCTCCCCCTGATGTTTCATCCTATGTGTTCATCTTCCCTCCTTTCCATCCTTCTTCTCTCTCTCTCTCCTCTTCTTCTACATCGCTCATCCATCCGCCCATCCTCATCCTCCTTCGCCAAGCTTCATCAAACTCCAGCTTGATATTTACTCGTTATCCTCCTCCTACTCAGTATCATTCGAGTGCGTTGTCTCTCCCTGCCCCTTCTGTTTCCCTCTCCCTCTACGCTCGGGCGTTGGTAGAACTGGGCTTAGTGAAACCTGGTTTAGTGATCTGTACCGGGGGCGCCCCCCCCCTCCCATGTTCACTAACCGGAACTGCCGTCACCCGAAAAAACACCAGCTATGGCAAACCTGGTTTAGTGATTCTGGACAGTTCGAAGGCTCCGGGGCCTTACCACTAACCAGGTCCCCTTTCCCGGGGTCCTGGCCATACCCGATACGCGTCCCCTCCTGCCCATTGTGTGGGAGGAGGCCGGCAAGAGGAACGAGCGATGCTGCAGTCGAGAGGAACGGCGGGCGAGCAGCAAGAAGCGCGAGGCGTAGACGCAGCCCGAGGCGCACAGACCCATCCGGAGAGAGAGGCCAGCGCGAGAGCTCCGCCAGAGGAATGGTCGCGTCACGATCGCTCCTCCTCCTCCTCCTCCTCCTCATCCTCGTCCTCCTCTCCCTCCCCTCCTCCTCCTCCTCCTCCTCCTCCTCCTCCTCCTCCTCTCTCCTCCTCCTACCCCCGCCACTCCTCCTCCTCCTCCTCCTCCTCCTCCTCCTCCTCCTCCTCCTCCTCCTCTCGCTCCTCCTCCTCCTCCTCCTGCTCCTCCTCTTGCTCCTCCTCCTGTTCCTGCTCCTCCTCGAGAGGCTGCGACGAGCGAGGAGGGCGCCGCCGCGGCAGGGCGAGCCTCCCTTTGGCCGGAGCCCCGCTCCCCTTGCTCTCGCACGGGCGCCAGCTCCCCGTGCACGCTTCGGTCTCGTGCGTGTTTTTTTGCGCTCTGCGGTGATATCCGGGAGGCTCCTCGCTGGTCCTCGCCTTATGCTGTTCCCATCCTACTTAAGGACCGCATCCCAGAAATAATTTCGAGCAGCCAGAGAAAAGTCGAAAGAGTGTCGGAACAGTGTCGAAACAGTGCCCGGCGAGTGTCTCCCAGAGCCCGACACGTGAAAACCCTTGAGTTTCGGTACTTTTTTGGGGCGCTCGAAACTCTTTCTGGTGATCAAGGCTAAAGTAGGTTGGAGCATCGCAGTCCTCGCCGAGGAAGAGATGCACACGCCCGAGCGATGCCAGGGTCCCCTTTGTGCTGCCGCCTCCTGCCCGCCTCCGGCCCGCCTCCTGCCCGCAGGCGGCCCACCCGCGGGCTGCTTGCCAGCAAGCACGCCCGCCATCCGGCGTCGCGAAGCGACATCACAACCGTTGCAGTGTTTCGTGCCTGCTCTGTGACAGAAGCCCTTACCGAAGCGAGAGCGGAACCCTCGCCGAGGTCGCGTCTATTGTGTGTGCGCCTGTATGCGGAGGTTTTGTGGCGCCCGGTGGCCAACCCCGAAGGGTCTTCAATAACCCCCCTGGCCAGAATGGGACACTAATTAGTTTGTCCGCGGGCTCACTGACGGATTGGGATCCCAACAATACTTGGGGAATTCTCATTCCCCCGCGATCGGAGGGGCCCGAGCTTGAGAACGGAGGAAGTCTCAGGCAGAAGCGCGAGTCGCTGTTCAAGCTTGAATGTGAAATATTGGCCCCACCTGCTGCTGCGATGGCCCCGCATGCTTCTGCTGTGGACGACAAAAGGAGGTTCCTGAGGAGGCGAAGGAAAAGAAGGAGGAGGAGGAGGGAGGGGAAGGAGCAGGGAGGGGAAGGAGGAGGAGGAGAGACGCGCTTCCATTCCCCGCCGAGAGCTGGAAGAGGGGGTCCTCAACATAAAAAATCCTTCGCGGCTAGTGCCCTCTAAGCCCTCCACTCCTCTAGTCATATCCGCTTCTACGCGCCGCCGTGAGAGGTGCCCCCGACCTTCGGACGGAGACGAGGGAGGGAGGACGGGAAAGGAGATGGGAGGAGGAGGCAGGCAGATTCAGGAGGACTCACCATACCCCCCTTGTGTCGTGAATTTCTAAAAGCGTGGTTCCCCAGAAGCGGCACGCTACACGCTACACTGGAAGCAAAGGCGCGTACTCACAAAATTGCGCGGGCAGTTCACGCGCCGGTGTCGGCGAAGACGAACCAGTTTCTTTCCGTCGCTCAAATGGGGACGGGAGAAGGGAGGCGTCAGGAGGAGAAATTCGACGAAGCCAGGACGAGGACAAACTGGGGTGAGGATAAATAAGTCGAGAACCTCTGAGATCTGGCGGCTCTGGAGGATGTCTCGGGCGCCGCGGCCTTCTCGGAGCGTTCCCCAACGCTCCAAAAGCGCTCGGGAGTTAATGGGTTTGTAGTTGTCCCGGCCGCACCCCC